CATGACAAAGTCAGGACCTCTTCCCCAAAGAACTGTTGTATTGAGTTACCCCCGTGTTATTAGGTGACAGTGATCAGATGTGTTAGTTGGCATGGCGGGGAGGTGAAGAGATGACAGTAGGTTTACATTGAGAGCAGTGGCAGCTGGTGAGCTGAAAATAGGTGAAGCACAGAACATCTCTCGATAATCATGATTTGTCTTGACCCCATTTCAATCTTTCATCAGGGGCCGGGCAGCCTATGCTGCCAGGACCTTATTGTTATCCTGCATGTTCCTCTTTCTTCTTCTTATTCTTCTTCCGAGGAAATCCTACTTCCCATGCGCGAAAAATCACCAAATTTTGCACAAAGGTCCAGTCCCATGCCAGATTGCCTCAGCTGCAAAAACAGGCCAATAGTCCTGATGGTGGCGCTACAGCAAGCCTCTAAAAATTTTTGAAAATTCACAACAAATCAACCATATGTGCTACAGATTTGCAACTTTCACCAAAATGTAGCCCCAATACTGAAGAAACTTTTGTACATTTAAACCTATTGCAAATTATGAAGTCCATCACTCATTTTTTTTCTAAAACTGTAAAACTTATTAAACCTATCTCCTCCCACAATTTTTGCTAAATTGACACCAAACTTGCTACAGAGCATTTTCAGACTGTCCTACACAAAGAAACCACACAGATTTTTGATTTATCGAATATTGAGCCTACAGAGCATCAAAATGTTTGACTGTAAGCGGTATTGTAAACATATACTTGCAAATTCTTGCTAAATACACTTTCAATGTTCATTAAAAAAAAATGAAAAAATTTTGGAGTCATGGTAGATGATGTTTGGAAAATATCAGAATTTTATCTCAAAAACTGAATTTTTTACAGCATTTTCAATTTCACTCTCATGTGAACAATTGGAGTCAATGCAAAAATGGCATTTTTAAACCTCAGTTTTTCACTTATGGAGCCAGTAAATCATTGTTAAAAACAAATTACAAACATCTCCATGCTGTTTAGATGCAATTTGTGTATTTTTGGATTTTTTTCTTAATAACTGAATTTTTGACAGCCGTTTGCAATCTGCCTTTACACGCTAACAGCTGCTGTCTTGCACACAGGTGACTGGCTTAGTCAATTTGCGAAGCTACATGTGACATTTCCTTTTGCCAATTAGCTCAGTCGGATAGAGCATAGTCTCTTGTGCCAGAAATTGTGAGCTCAAGCCTAAACACCTTTTTTTCATCTTCCTATACTCTGCCTGTTGCTCAGAATTGCCTAATTTTGCCTAAAATTGCCCGGCCCCGGCCATTGCTGCGCAGTAGCTATAATTTAAATTAGGATTATGTAAAATCAGAAAACACTCAACATGATTAGGTGTGGCCAGTTTTCCTCAATAATGTGACACGAGAAAGAAAACCCGTCATTTCAATGACAAATTGCATTTCAGTCAATGCTATTCATTTGCTCATATTTGCCACTAATTTTTGCTTTCTTTATTGTAACTAAACAGTCATGAAAAAAAGGTTAGATAAAGCAGGATGTGCTCAACGTAAACACAAAAGCTAGAATCATAGTTTATGTTTTTTGTCAAGTGAATAAAATATTTTCCACTTTATCGTTGCAACATTGCATTAAGAAGGAGGCTGTGTATTTAACAGCCGATAGTTTATTCTTTGGCCCCATATTCACCAGTTGCAGTTCAGAAGTGGACTGGCTGGAACATTGCAGTGTTTCTGGTATGGAAAGCAATGTACAGCATGCGTGTATCTACCTTATGGCAGTTCTGTTCTGAAGTGACATGGATGTGAACTGGCAAGAGCTGGTGATATGCTGATAGAGTAAACTCGGACATGATAGTGATAAATATTTATCTCTAAAACTACAGGAGGCTATCTCCCTCATTATTTATTCAGTTTGTGTGTCCATTATTCATGCAAAAGTAATATTTTCGCCGATTAAGTACATCCGATGGGCAGGTAGTAATGAAACTTAACCACCACTCTCTGAAATAACTGACTGAAGTGACCGTGACTGTGCTCAGGGAGTTCTTTTTATTTTTAAGCAGGTAGTAATCATTCAGCATTCCATCCATCCACCATTTTCCACTACTTATCCAGGGCTGGGTAGCAGGGGTAACTAAGACTAAGAGGCCCAGGCGCCCCCATCCCCAGCCACTTCCTCCAACTCTACCCGGGGGACCCCAGGCTGTTCCCAGGCCACCCATTAGATATAGTCCCTCCAGTGTGTACTGGGCCTGCTTTGGGGCCTCCTCTTGGTTGGACATGCCCGGAAAACCTCTTGAGGGAGGCGTCTGGGAGGCGTCCGGACTACATTCTCGAACCACCTCAACTGACTCCTCTTGACATGGAGGAACAGCAGCTCTGCTCTGAGCCGGTCTTGGATGTCTGAGCTCCTCATCCATAAGGGTCAGCCCAGCCACCCTCCTGAGAAAGCTCAGTTTGGCCGCTTGAAATCGTCATCTTATTCTTTGGGTCACTACCCAAAGCTCGTGGCCATTGCTGAGGGTTGGAACGTAGATCGACCAGTAATTTGAGAGCTTCCCTTTTAAGCTCAGCTCCTTCTTCACCGCGACAGACAGGTACAATGCTCACTTCACTGCAGACGCTGTAGTGATCCCTCTGTCAATCTCAGGCTTCATCCTACCCTCACTCATGAACTAGACCCCAAGATACTTGAACTCCTCCACTTGGGGTAACAACTCACCCCCTACTTGAATGGGACCATCCACCTTTTTCCAGGAGAGAACCATGGCCTCAGTTTTGGAGGTGTTGATCCTCATTCCGACCGCTTCACACTCAGCTGCGTACCACACTAGTGCGCGTTGGAGGTCACAGCGTGATGAAGCCAGCATGACCATATCACCTGCAAACAGCAGAGATGCAATCTTGAGGCTGCCAAACTGACCAAACTGGACACCCTCCAAACTTCGGCAAAGGGCAATCAGCATTGGTCTGGCAAAGCTCTATATATTTGACCTGACTGCTATATAGCTGTGAAAATTATCTATTGATGTATTTATGTGTTAGAAGTCAACAAATTGCATTTCACGCTTGTCAGAAGAAGCAGATCTGGAAAAAATAGACCAGATGCTGCCCAGTCAGCAATGGGCAGCTCCTAATGACAGTGACTCAAGGAGGGACAAACCATAAACCAGCAAAAGGGCTTCAGGCGCCTAAGATTCACTGATATTTGAACCAACAGTGCTACTATTGTGCAAGTCCCAAAGCATTTTAATAATGGTTCAGTGAGAAATTTGTCAGAACACAGAGTGTATTGCACCCTACTGCGTATAGGGCTTTGTAGCTACAGACCAGTTGGAATGCCCATTGTAACCTTGGTCCACATTGCCTGCAATTCGAACATAAGCTTCTGAACTGGAATTTGGAGCAATTAAAGAAGGTCACCTGGTCCTGTCAGTGCCATTTTGTTTTACATAATGTGCTTTGGCGGGGTCTATGCGCTCTGTGGAGGGATTGTGATGCTCTGGGAAAAGTTCTGCTTGGAAACACTGGGTCCAAGAATTCAAGTGGACGTCAGATTGATGGGGCTGTTTTGTGGCACTGAGGGGACGTACACAATATTAGACAGGTGGTTTTAATGTTGCAGCCGATCGGCGTGCAACAGCAATATAATTCAATAGGAAAATATTTTTGCACAAGAAAATAAAGAACCTCATGGCATATTATCATCCTTTTCTTTGAAATTCCATAAACGGAATAGAGGACACATCACCTCTCTTACCTCAACCCTGAGTCAGCGCGGGGTCAAATGCAATCGTTGACTGATAAATCACTGCACTGCTTGACTGCTCCTTGAGTGAGTGGAAAAGCACCCAAATCCAGGAGACGTGATCACATTCGAAGGACATCACACAATAAATCCCCTCTTAGTCTTACAGATGCATCTTTTTGACTGGAGAAATTAGAAATTGTTTTGGAGAATTTGAGAGAGATTTTGATCACTTTGGCAAAATCTTTCTCCTGAGACCATATTTTCCAAGTGGTGCAGATTCTGGCATCCATTGTTCACCAATTTATTCCAGCAATCATAAACGTAGTTACATGAAAAAAAACTAGTAATCAAAACCTGATGAGCTCACAACTTACTGTATATCTGAACGCTATCCAACGTAATCAGCTGTTTTGAAAATGATTTAGGTCGTTTATGCCAGCATTTCCTGGAAACCACCAACTCATTTTTTGATGGATTCTATTAAAATTGCCAAGTCTTCTCATGCCCAGATGCAAAATACACTGCCTGGCCAAAAAAAAAAGGTTGCTGTTTGGATGTAAACAAGCAAATATACGGTGGCCGACAGGGGCAAACGCGCTGCAATGGCCCAAAAACATCTCCAATTAGCCTATTTCACAAGATGGCGATGGATACCAGGAAGCATGTAAAACCACTTCCTGTTGCTTTAACACTAGCATCTTTCCATTGAGCTACAGAAGCGCCGAAACATGGATAATGAACTTTTCTTCTGCAATCTCTCATTTCTTTACCGAAAATTTCGATTGCCGATGTTGCCCGTATTGTAGATGAGCTACAAGCTAATCTTTTGTGGTTTGCATGTTTTTGAGTTTGCATCGTTTCTGGTTTTGCTGGGCGTTTCACAGATTGGAGATGTTTTGGGCCGATGCAGTGCGTTTGTGTTGACGTAGCTATGCAGCCTTTTTCTCTTTGATTTGCTTTTTCGGTTTGCCTTTTTTTGAATTGGCATATTTTCTGTTTTGCAGAGCGTTTCTCCAATTGGAGCTGCTTTTGGCCGTTGCAACGTGTTTGCCCCTATCGGCCAATGTACAAATGTCTAAGGGCTAATGATTGGGTCATTATTGCAGCAATTAATGTTACAGCTGGCAACAATTCTTTTTACTGTAACTGATGTTGCGTGTAGCTTCTTATTTCTTAAACTATTGCAACAGTTGATGGGTCCTGACACTAGAAATGCCTCCTAATAAGTACGCGCCCTGGCTACCTTGCCAACAAGCCTGGCTTGTTGGCGATGTGGTCAGTGCGTTTGACTCTTACCTGGGAGTCTGGGGTTCAATTCCCCATCCAGGCCCTCCTTTGGGCTACCACACTATATTATAAGACGCATAACATGGTATGTTGTTGTGTTTTATAAAGGCCTGTACCAAGTAAAGAAAACAACTCAAGAGATAGCTCAAATCATTGGACTTGAGTTAAGAGCTGTCCAACACATAATATGAAAAGTCTTTATGATGCTCTGGAGAAGACTTTTCCGAGTAGTTTGACTCTCCCATCCTCATTGCCTTGGATGACAGTTCTGCCACTGGAGTTGGGTTTGGAAGAGTAATCGGGTGGTCAAGGACAAGGTTACGAGTCTGGTGATAGTTACCCCCATACGCCGCGCCATGGCTGGACTGAGGAAGTTGCCGTTGGCCCCAGAGTCCATCAGGGCCTTGACCTGGTGGCTCTGCCCCTGGAGTACGGCGCAGAACAGTGGTCAGGTGTTTAAGGGCAGGGAGGCCCTGGTCAGCATCGCATCCTTCCAGGTGGAGCATGGTCGTTTGACTGGGCAGGCAGCCAGAAGATGATCAGTGCTATCACAGTAGTGGAACTGGCTTAGCTCATGGTGGCATTCCCATTCAGCAGAGGAAAGCCTGATGTAGTTGACCTGGATGGTTTTGGTGGGCAGGGAAGATGGGGAAGACAAAGAAGCTTGGAAAGCTGGAGGTGAGGGAGGCCAAGATCAAAGCGCCAGTCCAGGTTTCTCTCCAGTAAGTAGGAGTCCATCTCGATGGTAAGATCCAACAGGCCAGCAAAATCTTGAGGTAGGTTGTAAGTGGTGAGTGCATCCTGGATACTGTCAGCTAGCTTGAAGAAGCAGTTATCATTTAGGGCCCTGTGGTTTTACTAGGCAGTGGCAACCAGTGTGCAAAACTCAATGGAGTCAGAGGAAGCTTTGCATTGTGGAGTTCCCTGTCTGAGTGCTGTCAAACATCTTCCTCATCTCTTTGGTGGAGGACTAAAAAGAGCAGGTGACTGGATCCTCAGCTTCCCAGCTGGGCATTACCCAGGCAAGAGCTTTGCCAGATACAGTACCAGTCAAAAGTTTGGACACACTTTGCTAATGTCACAGCACTCTATTTTTAGAGAAATTTAAATGGATTAAGTTCTCTGTATAATTTCAATTGGAATCTGGTAAGAGGTAAACAGACAGAAGTTAAAAGAGAATAATTTACTTGTTTGAATAGTGTCCAAAATTGTAGAATTCTCAAAGAAGCCATACTTTGCAAAGTAAGCAGACAAACAAGCCCTTTCCATTTTCCAACAGCCTAATTAAAGACAAGCTGTTTTGGAACTTACTGGGCAAAAAAGTCAATGAAAAGCAAACCACCAGTGCAGCGCATCTTTGGGAACTTAGACGGCCGCTCACCAGCAAACTCATTACAGCCATGTAACTGCTCTTGTAAAAAAAAAAAAAAAAAAAAAAATGTGAGTATGCTCTGTAAGTATGACAGAAAATGCTGGTTAGTTTGATGGATTTAAGAATTAGATCTCTTTTTTTTGCAAATAAATGGTACCTATTTCTTTATTTAACATGTCTTGTAAGAAAAATGTGGGTATGTCGAAACTTTTGGCTGGTACTGTCTGTAGGCGGGTGATCACTTATGCCACCCTTGCTCTCTCAGTCAGGAAGGTGGAATGCTGCAGCTCACACACCAAGGAATGCAGGGTGAGAGAGACGTGGAACTAAACTATGCAAAGGTAACAAGTTACAATGGGAAATAGGTGCGAGAAAGGCATGAGGAACGAACAAAGGGAAATGAGGAGGTCACAAGAAAATAATTTAATAATTTAAATCAATCTACTAAATGAAACCAAAACCAACACAGACAGCCAAAAACGTGGATTTACTCATTAATAGCAGTATGAGAGGTGACAGGAGCACAGCTTAAATGCACATGTGCCCGAGAATATGTATTTCTCTATGATCATTTCTCTTCCATCTCAGAAATCTTTGTACACATATCCTCAGAATTTCTTGACTATTTCCCTCATGTCTAAAACACAATTATTCATAACAACAATGACTAAATAACGTTTTAGGAGTCTGATAATTCATGTTGTTTCTCTCTTAGCTGGAAGTTATATTTCATTTTACATTTACATTTCCAATTGCAGTTGCATCCAAGGTATCAGTGAGAGAAGACAATTACAGAAGTTTTCTTCTTTAGTCGAAACAACCAGAGCATTGAAATTACCCACACTGTATATTTTGAATTGGCAGCAGTCTCGTCCTCCAAAAATAGAGCATCCCCCTTAATTGAATAAAATAAAGTCAGGGTAAAGTAAGCCTGAGTAAAGTCAGGCTTTAACAAGAAAATTATATGTTAAAACTCAAATGCACAAATTAATTTATTAAAATAAAATAATGGATCATTCATAATTGAAAAATACATATAATACAATCAAACAACTGAGGATGTGATGCAAAGAAAAAGTTTTATTTGTAAAAATGTAACAATGGCATGCGCATTATGTCTCTCCCAAAATGGCTCCAACCCTCCCGTCAGCCAGCAAGAACATTAATTAAATTCAAATTAAAACTGTAATTAATTTGAAAACTAATTATGTCTTGACTATTATAAATAAGATCCCGAGGAGATATCGGATTAGCACAGGTTCCATACAGTTCGATAAAGCACCAGGTTTGTGGAGAATTAAACAAGAAATTTAAGTATGAACGGTGGCATTTTCCTCTGCCTGCTATTACTGGCTCTTTGCTATTAGAGATGACAGATGCCATTGTCTTCAGTCTGCTCCTGGTGTAATGAAAAGAATAGCTGTCTAGGCATTTTTCCAAGCAAACCTTTTTTAAACAGAAAGATTATTCAGGTGATTGTAGTTTTCCGGGTATATGGTCTGAAAACGAAAGCACTTTGAGGTCCATTAAATTTTCATTTGCCATGCTAATGTTCGTGCAGTGTCTGTTGCCCCGATCAAAATTATTAGAACAATGATGTCACAACAATAAATAAATAAATAAACACAAACATTTATGGTGGTCTGAAATTGAAAAAGCGACACCTTGGGGCATGTGACAAATGATTAATACATTTATCAGCAATTCATATTGTGAGCAATGACCACACAATGGAAGTAAGTTCTGAAGCATGACATTCACATATGGAAAGTAATCCAATAGAATGGCGTAACATCCAGAGAATTGATGTGAACATATAAAATGCTTTCAAGCAGAGACAGTTTCAGGAGGGAAACAGCAGGGACATTTTTGCTCCTTTCGCTATTTGTATGTTTTTGTATGTTTTCCAGAACCAAATTTTGCATAAGGATTGCTGCCAGACTGACATTTCTGATAGATCATGGTGATCTTGCAATTAAAAATGCCCCCCCAGTGGATTAATAAGTTTAAATAGATTTTTTTTTTAAAAGCATTTCGAGAACAATTCTCTTTTACTATGACATTTACAATGTAATATGCAAATGGCATGATTGCCTGACTTGGCCATGAATGAGCCTTTACAGGACCTCATGGGTGGTATAGAGAGCAGAGATATTGTGCTTTCTGCCCCAAACTGGCGGAGATACGTGCCGTATCAGCCGGCCGACTGTCAGCCGATGATGTATGTGTGCATGACTTCCCTATGTCCGCTCCCCGTCGCCCATTCATCAAGCTTGAATTTGAAGGTTCGCAGCCTTCTACGACGTCCTGTGGTTTTCCATTTGACAACAGGGATTTCTAGCCCATTTGATGAAACGCGCTATGCGTTCCTGACACCCGCTCAGTCTTTCATCTTTTCTGGCTGCCCCAGAAACTGAAGCTGTCCAGCCCCCACCCAGCAGAACACATCACTTTCTGTTCAAGAACTTCCTCTTTCATCTCTCTTTACCACTTCAGCCTTGCTCTAAAATCACATCACAGATTTTGGCTTTACTAAACCGTATTTGTAGTATCTTCGTCAGATGAATTTACCGTTTTCTCTGATACAACACACAGAGATATACAAATGCATTCAGTAGAGCAAGAAGCTAATTAATTGTGGCTTCCTTGTTTGACTCGGTGATTAGAACAAGCTTTGAGGGTTCATATTTGGGTTTGGCTTAAGCTGGGTTAGGGAAACAGTAAGTCCTTGGGTCGAGACGAGGCTCATATTGAATTCAGGAGCCTGGGAAAATATAAGACAAAATAATACAAAAGTTATCTTGTGACCCGGATAATTATTTATTTATTTTTTCCCCATTTAGGACGCAAGGCCATGAAACAACTGTTTTCTTACTTTGCGATATGTTTCTGATCATTGGTGTTCAGAGTATCCATGAGGTGAAGCTTCAGCTAACTGTTGGTGTTTTGACTTGAAATGTAATGGTGCTTGCTGGCCATTTAGGCTCATGTCACCATAGCTATTAGTCAATGCCATTTGAGAGATGATTGCTTTGTTTATTGATTGATTTTTTTTTTTTTTTTTTGGTCTCTAGTCAATGCCTAATTCTGGTATCAATTTTAACAGCCAATTAGACTGCGTCTGATTGATTTGGAGACTTTATGTCCGCAAGAAGCAATACAGTTGGTAAATCTATAAACTGTGACCCCTAGGATATTTATCACAGCACAACAAAGGCAACAAACGCTACCCAGTGCTTCATTGGCTTGTTATCAGCCACAATAGTGATTCTGTTACTGTTTTCAGTTGATTGGAGTTTATATGTTTGTGGATGTCTCCGGTTTTGGACAATGCTTGTGAACACAAAAGCATTGCAACGTTCTAAGATGCAGTCACAAAACAGGTGAGTCTGTGCGATAAAAATGAAGGCTGAGTTTGCAGATGGGTATGGTCTGAGTACGCACTCACTAAACAAGTTCAATATGATGCCAGCTATATTGAAAACAATACCAGCACTGCTGGCATAGCTGATGCAACCCTAGATGGTCAATAGAAATAATTTACTCATTGTATTTCTAATAGTGGAAAATGGGCTGTTAGTCTATACATCCATCCATCCATCCATCCATCCATCCAGTCATCCATTCTTTGCCTGACCAGTATTTTGTAGATTTTTAGGAACTGATCATAAC